TCGGCCTTCCGTCCCCCGACCCTGCGTCGGTTCCTCCCCGGCCGTCTCCTCCTCTTCCTGTCTACGGCCCTGTCTTCCCTCCGCCGGACTCGTCCCCCGGCCGTCTCCCCCCTCGTTCCCCTCCTGTGTCCCCTCCTCTGTCTCCTGACCCGACTCCTCCGTCGCACGTCTGGTCTCACCGTCCCTCCCGCGCTCGTCCTGCCTCGCCTGTCTTGCGCTCCCACCCTATGTTGCTTCGTTCCCACGCGTCTCGTCCTCCCCTTCTGCCATCGCCTCCTCCGTCCTCCCTTGTTGTTGCACCCCCCCCGCTGTCTGACTACCTTCGTGCCGCTCGTCCCCTTGTTCCTCGGGTCCTTGCCTCTCTCGTTACCGACCCGTCTGTTCCGACCTCGTGCCTTGACGCTCTTGTCGCTGCTGTCGCTGACTTCACCTCTACCCGCCGCCTTGACTACGCCTCCACTCTGGTCTCTGACCCTGCCTGTCCTCCGTCTGTCGGGGGTGCTCCTGCCCTTGGCAGTGACGTCCTGGAGGACCGCCAGTTCGAGCTTGCTTTCCTCTCTGAGGCTGCTCCCCATCTCTGTTCCATGCTGCTAGTCCCTGAGGGTGACCCAGACGCTTTCGACATCCCGACCCCTCGCACTTACGCTGAGGCGACTTCGGGACCCTGGGCCTCGCAGTGGATAGCTGCCATGGAGCAGGAGATGGCATCTTGGAGATCCACCGGCACCTTCGTCGACGCAGTTCCCCCACCTGGGGTGAACGTAGTCGATGGCCGCTGGCTCTTCAAGGTAAAGCGCCCTCCTGGAGAGCCGCCTGTCTTCAAGGCGCGCTATGTCGCTAGAGGCTTCAGTCAGCGCGAGGGGGTGGACTTCTTCCAGACCTTCGCTCCGACCCCGAAGATGACTACTCTTCGGGTTCTGTTACACCTAGCTGCTCAGCGTGACTACGAGCTTCACTCCCTCGACTTCTCCACTGCCTTCCTTCAGGGCAGCCTACACGAGCAGGTCTACCTGCGGCGCCCTCAGGGCTTCACTGGCACCTTCCCTCCTGGGACCCAGTGGCTCCTACGGCGCCCCGTCTACGGCCTGCGCCAGGCTCCCCGTGAGTGGCACGACACTCTCCGTGCTACGCTTGCTGACCTGCAGTTCTTTCCGTCTTCCGCAGACCCTTCACTCTTCGTGCTGGCCAGACTCCGTTCTACATCCTTGTTTACGTCGACGACCTGGTCTTTGCCACAGCTGACAGGGACGCACTGGCCTCCGTGAAGGCAGAGCTTCTGAAGAGACACACGTGCACTGACCTTGGAGAACTGCGCCGTTACCTTGGCTTGCAGATCTCCAGGGACAGAGCTGCGCGCACCATCACCCTGACTCAGTCACACTTGGTGCGCCAGGTCCTTCAGAGGTTCAGCCTTCAGTTCTCCTCTGCACAGCCCACCCCTCTGCCTGTAGACCACAGACTCTCCGCTCCAGTGTCTGAGGAGTTGGTAGAGCCCAGCGGCCCCTACGCAGAGCTGGTGGGTTGCCTCATGTACCTGATGACTTGCACTCGCCCAGATCTCGCATACCCTCTCAGCATCCTGGCTCGCTTTGTGGCCACAGGCAGACACCGACCGCAGCACTGGTCTGCCGCTAAGAGGGTTCTGCGTTATCTTGCTAGTACATCGGGCATGGGAATAGTGCTAGGAGGACGCAGGCCTGTGGTCCTTACTGGACACACAGACGCTTCGTGGGCAGACGACGCTGAGACGCTCAGGTCTACCCAGGGCTACTGCTTCAGCCTTGGCTCAGCTGCCGTCTCGTGGAGAGCTACCCGCTCCTCGTCTGTAGCGCAGTCCAGCTGTGAGGCTGAGATCTACGCTGGTGCCATGGCGGCACAGGAGCTCCGCTGGCTGACCTTCTTGCTCACTGACTTAGGTGAGCGGCCTAGCTCTGCCCCGGTCCTGTTCGCTGACAACAGGGCCATGATCCTCCTGTGTCAGGAGCCTCGACTCGAGGGCAGAGCAAAGCACATTCAGCTGCGGTACTTCCTCCTGCGTGAGCTACAGCAGCGACGTCAGGCTCGCGTAGTACACTTGGCCTCAGGTGCCAACACGGCTGATATCTTTACGAAGGCGCTTGCGCCTAAAGATCATCAGTGGCACTGTGTACAGCTTGGTCTAGTTCCTGTAGCCTCTCACTTGCTAGGACCTTGACTTTGTACTGTCCTTTATACGTATACTCAGACTGGACTTGTGTCCTCTCCCAGTGGCTGGACTAGTAGTGCCGCCCTGCTCTTGTTCTTGCCTTGTTTGTACTCCTTCTGACTGGTCTCTCAGACCCATGTCTCAGAGGTTGGACTAGTAGTGCCGCCCTGAGCTGTTTGTTTAGGGCATTCCCCTATGCAGTCTAGGGGGTGTGTCAAACATGTGTATTTGTCATGTTTGTATAGACTGTATAGGGTCGCCTCTTAGAGAGTACAACACTTAGGTATATCTGTGTGTACTCTCACTCTCATCTGCCCCGATGCTGCCAAGTGGATCCAGGCTATCTTTGCTGAATGCGAGGCCTTCATCCGCAATGCCTCATTCGTTGACATTGTCCCCTCTCCTGACGACATCATTGTTGAAGGCGTGTGGGTGTTCCGAGAGAAGCAGCTGCCGGGTGAGGAGCCGGTCTATAAGGCCCGGTATTGTGCCAAGGGCTTCACCCAGACCCATGGCATCAACTACTGGGAGACATTCTCTCCCACTGCCAAGCTCCCAACTCTCCGTGCCATCCTCGACTATGCTGTTCACATTGGCATGGAGATTGCCTCCATGGATGTCTCCAATGCCTTCCTGCAAGGCGAGCTCCAGGAGCGGGTCCTCTTGCGGCGGCCTCCAGGCTTTCATGCAGCCTTCCCTCCCAACGCAGTCTGGGAGCTGCGCCGTTCGGTTTATGGCCTCAAGCAGGCTCCTCGCGAGTGGCACAACAAGCTGGCCGCCACTCTGCAGTCCCTAGGGTTCTATGCCTCTCAGTTTGATGACAGCCTTTTCTTTCGCTCCTCTCCCACCCGCTTCTTCATCCTGGTGTATGTCGACGACATGATCCTGTTCGCTGACGATGCTGCCGCCATGCAGCAAGCGAAGGACGCCCTGCATGCTCGCCTCAAGTGCAAGGACCTGTGTGAGCTCAAGCACTAGCAAGGCATGATCATCACCCGGGACCGCGCATCACGCACCATTACCCTCTCTCGGTCCTTCTATATCGACCAAGTCTTGCAGCGGTTCGACATGGCGCAGGCCAAGCCGGTTACCACTCCCCTGCAGACCGACCACCAGCTTGCCCCTCCTCCTGCTCCCTCCTCCTCTGACCATCCTTACGCTAAGCTCGTCGGTTCGCTGATGTACGCTATGATGTGCACCCACCCCGACCTTGCCTACCCCATCAGTGTTCTTGCTCGCTTCGTCGGTACCGGTTGCCACACTGATGAGCACTGGGCTGCAGCGAAGCGGGTACTCTGTTACCTCCGTGGTACCAAGGACTATGTCCTCACCCTCGGAGGCTCTTCTCCTCCCCTCCTCTCTGGCTTCAGTGACTCCTCCTGGGCTGACTCCCAGCCCGATCACCGTTCCTCTCAGGGCTACGGCTTCACCCTCGGCAGCGGCCTCATCAGCTAGCGCTCCACTCGCTCCTCCTCCATCGCCCTCTCATCCTGTGAGGCTGAGCTCTATGCTTGCACCATGGCCGCTCAGGAGGCTCGCTGGCTCACCTTCCTCCTTGCTGAGATCGGTGCTCCTCAGCGCTGTCCCACTCTCTGGTGCGACAACGCCAGCACCATCCATCTCACAAAGGACCCTGTCTTCCATGGCCGCTCCAAGCACATTGAACTCCGCTACTTTTTCGTTCGGGAGTTGGTCCAGCAAGGTCACTTGGTGGTCCGCAAGATCACTGCAGGGGCGCTACGGGGCCCAGGAGGGGCACGACGGGGCCCAGGAGGGGCGCGGCAGGGCTAGGGGCACGAAGGGCCCAGGGGGGTCGCGACGGGCCTAGAGGGTCGCGACGGGGCCCAGGGAGGCGCGACGGGCCTAGAGGGTCGCGACGGGGCCCAGGAGGGGCGCGGCAGGGCTAGGGGCACGACGGGGCCCAAGGGGGTCGGGGGGGAGGCGCGGCGGGGCCTAGCTAGGGAACGAGCGGAAGCGGTAGGTGGGGGGATCCTAACCTACGCGTGATACCATATCAGAATTAGAGAAGTGAATGATGGGTAGAGTGAGAGTACAGATAGATATACCTAAGTGTTGTACCCTCTAAGAGATGACCCTATACAGTCTATGCAAACATAACAAGTACACATGTTTGACACCAATCAACCCCCTCACACCTCCTCCAGCTCGCCTGGAACTTGTGTGATTCTGGTCAAGGACCAATCACGCCCCCCACACCTGTTGTAGCTCGCCTTGAAGTTCCGTTATTGTGGTCAAGGACCAATCACGCCCCTCACACCTGCTCTAGCTCGCCTCGAACTTGCGTCATTTTTTGTCAAGGACCAATCACGCCCCTCACACCTGCCCCACCTCGCCTCGAACTTGCGTGATTCTGGTCAAGGACCAGCCATGCCCCTCACACGTGCTCTAGCTCGCCTTGGCAGATAAGATTCAGATTCAGGGCGAATTTCGAGTAAGGCTGATTCGTCAGGCTTGGTAAAACAAGGACATACTATTTTTCAGGCCTTAGAAAACGGGAACACATAAATTTCAGGTTTGATAAAAATCAAAACCTGAAAAATCAGGGTATGCCCTAGAAAACACCCTGATATACAGGCTTTCAGGCCTTTTTGGCCTGACTTCTGAGGCCCTGCTTAGGGGTGTATTGGGGCGCTAAGATGAATTGCTTGAAGACTTTGTTTGTCAAATGATCAAATGGAAGTGTATTACCGTATTGAGACAACGTTCTCTCCATTCTGACAATTCGCACCCGCCATTTTCCAGGACTTCTCCCTTTTCTCTAAATTCCAGGAATCCTTCATTCGCCCCCCCTTTTCACCAACTGGATGCCTTCACTTTTCTTGCTCTCCAGTCAGGTCTCAAAGGCCCCTAGATGATTTCCAGCTACGACCATCTGTCGATTTCCCTATCCGAGTAGCCTGATTAGTGAGCCTTTTGCCCGCCATCTCGAACATTTTCTGATTAGATATACCTCCATCTCACACAAGCAAGCAGCCATGGGTACTCTCGGAGAAGGGCCGGTGCTGACTCGGATTCACACGTTCCCCGAGCATCTGTCGGTGCACGAGGCGCTGGAGCGCGTGAACGAGCGCGTGGCGGACGACGACATCATCGTGGAGGACGAGGAGCTGCTCGCCAACTCGCTGCTCTCCATCCTGCGCGAGCTCGAAGGCGACGACATCGCGGAAGCAGTAAGTCTTCTCGTGCTCTCGCGTCCATGTATTGCTTGCCGTTTGATTTCTTTCGAGCTGGCAGGCTGGAATGAATACCATGTGACTCTCGGCTCATGATGCCTCCCCCTTGATTCCGAGACATGTCCCCCTTTCAAGTGGATTCGGGGACTGCGCGCCCCCAGTTCTTGTCATGAAGTCAAAAGTTCATCAGGATTTCCCGAGGAGGCCAGAATTCCGTCATGGCGTCAGGTTTTCATCAGGACGTCAAAATTTTGCGATGGCTTCATCAGGGCTTGAGAAAATCGTCATGATGTCGTGATAATCAGGGCGTCATATTTTCCGTATGGTGTCCGAATTTCGTCATGACTTCAGGTTTCCGCTATGACGGCAGCACATAAGGATTTCACGAGGACGTCAGAATTCCGTCATGGCGCGAGAAATTTGTCATGAGTAAGGATATGACTAACTCATCAGGACGTTGGGAGTTCGGAATGACGTCAGCATCTCGTCATGACGTCAGCCTTTCGCCATGACGCCAGAATTCCGTGATGAGGATCTTAGGGCGTGGTGCTTAGAGGTCCGCAACTCGCCCGATTTGCGCAATCTGGGCTGGTTACGCTTTTCGAAAGATTTTGAGGAATTTTGAAGTCCATTTTGGGCAAAAATTCTTGGTGAACACCGCAACTAGTTGCACGATTCGGGTTGCGCAATTCTAGGCACCACGCCCTAACGTGCCGTGCCAGACGATCAGGAGCATTGAGCTCATCTCTCTCCCTCAGGCAACTTGCTTTTTCCTGTCTCTGGCTGCAGGTCATGAACAGCAGCAGGAAATTCCAGCAGCCCGTCCTCAGTTTCTGTACTGACTGGTCCGTTTCCGTTCTCTGCTCTCCTCCCCCCCCCCCCCCCCCTTCCCCCACCCTCGCCCCCAGGTGGAGACGGTGTACGGGCTGTCGGCGCAGTACAACCGCAGCAGCGACCCCGCGGACCTGGAGCGCCTGCAGGCCGTTATCGCGTCGCTCGACCCCGCCGCATCCATCCTGTGCGCCTCCGCGCTCTCGCACATGCTAACGTTCCACAACGTCGCCGGTGCGCTGCTGGGCGGGAGGGGTTTGATGGCTTTATGGGTTTGATGTCTTGATGGCGGGTCTTCTTTACGAAGCTGAATCTATGGTTGTCACAATCCCTAGAAATTTGGTACAGTTGGTTCTTTGTGCTCGACAGTTCCTCCTCTGGACGTCCCACTACTTCCAAGCTGTGGTTCTCTCCACTTTCCCCTGCACCTTCGGAGATTTCTCCTCCATGGCCCTCTGTCATTCTCTTTACCCTCCTCCCCCCCTCTCTGTCTCTCCCCCTCTCTACCCCTCCCCCTCCCTCACTTCATTTCTCCCTCTTCTCCCCCCCCTTCCCTCTTCCCCATCACGGCAGAGGGAGTGCAGATGGCGTACCGGCAGCGGAAGGTGAGTGAGCGGCACGGCGCGATTGAGGACGAGGGCAGCGCGCTGACGGAGTCGTCCATCACGGAGACGTTTGAGAAGCTGCGCGCGCAGGGGCTCACCGTGGACGACATCTACCAGGCGCTGTGCCGCCAGCGCGTGGACATCGTGCTCACCGCGCACCCCACGCAGTCCATCCGCCGCTCGCTGCTGCAGAAACACGCCAGGTGCGTGCGCGGCAGGGGGGAGGGTTGGGGGGAGGGTTAGGGGGAGGGTTTGGGGGAGGGTTGGGGAGAGGGGGGGAGAGAGGGAAGGGGAGGAGTAGGCGAGGATGGATTGGTTTGGTGTGCACTGCGAGGAGTGGGTTGGGAGGTGGTAGTGGGTGTGCGGGCTTGGGGGAGTGGGAGAATGAGCGTGGTAGGAGGCGTGCGCGGGGGGGAAGGGTAAGGGCGTAGGGAGAGATGAATATTTGCTGCTGTCTCAGTTTGCAAATGACATCAGCCGACTTCCGACAACCATGCATGAGAGAAACGGCAGTAGCTGTATGTGTCCTCGTCTGTCTTCTCATTCAGCTCTCAGTCCCCGTCTTCCCTCGCCCTCAACCGTTCTCCCTCCCCCTCTGTCCTTTGTGCGCCCAGGATCCGGCACCTGCTGGTGAAGAGGCGCGAGGAGAAGATGTCACCGGAGAGGAAGGAGGAGCTGGAGGAGGCCATCAGGAGCGAGGTGAGGGGGGTATCAAAAGCGAGGGGGGGGGGGCATCAGCAGCGCGGGGAAGGGGGGGGACGTGGGTGGATGGGCAGTGAGGGGCCCTCACCAATGGGTAGGTGGGGATCAACAGGCGCGGGTTTGGGTTGGGCTGGGGTGGTGAGGAAGTCTGATTGAATGTAGCTTCTGCACCCCTTGAGTCCTGAACTCAGGCTGCCTTGTGCACTTCCACACTTGCATTGCGTTTTTGCAGCAAAACCAAGGTCTCTTTTCTTCTTCCTTCCTCGTTTCTTCTCCCGCACTTCCTTCGTCGTCTCCTCCTTGCATGATAGACGGGGAGGGGCCTGCATAATCGACGGCATCAATGCTATCACTCTCCTGACCCTTCCCTCCCGCAGATCCAGGCGGCGTGGCGGACGGACGAGATTCGGCGGTCGCAGCCTTCGCCGCAGGACGAGATGCGGGGTGGCATGAGCTACATGCACGAGACCATCTGGCCGGGCGTGCCGCGCTTCCTGCGCCGCGTCGACACGGCGCTGCGCCACCTGGGCGTGCAGCACCGCCTGCCGTACCGCCTCCCCATCATCGCCTTCTCCTCCTGGATGGGCGGCGACCGCGACGGTGAGCGCCCTTCCCCCTCGCGCCCCTAGGTGGAAACATGCGACTGCGACGGTGAGCACACACAGGGTATATCGGTTGAAACATGGGGGAGGATGCGACCGCGATGGTGAGCGCCCTTCCTCCGCGCATCCCTAGGTGGAAGCATGCGACCGCGACGGTGAGCGCAGGGGATGTGGGGTGCTCTACGTAGAGGCATGTGACAGGGAGTGACCGCAATGGTGAGCTCCCTCTTCCCTCGTATCCCTAGGTGAAAGCATGTGACCGTGAGGGTGAGCGCCCATGCATGGGGTGAAATGCGGGGAAGAAGCAATGGACGCAGTGTGCGCTAAGGATCTGGGGGTAGCGGAGTGCAAAGATGTGGGGTGGGCGCCCTTCTCCCACCACATCATGCAGTGGAAACGTGGGACTGCCATGGTGAACGCATGCATGGGGGGGGAATGAGAAGATGTCATGTGCGCACCTGCGGGGGTGGGCCAAGGAGACTGAGAGGAGGGTAACCATGGGAAAGCAAGCAGGGTTACAAGGTTGGTAGATGCCTAAACCTTGGACCCAGTCGACGCAAATGGGAAGGGCACATGATTGTGCTCTCAATTGATTAGCCTTTATCTTCCATCCCTCACCTTTAAAGCCCGACATCCGGATTGTCCAAGTTAGGGGTGTTGTTTGACACTTGGGGGGATTGGCGAACTTTTTTGTGAGCTCACTATCCAACCATATTCTTCCCCCTTTTTCAACTGCTAACTTTTGGACAGTCCGGACCTCGGATTTTAACCTGTTACAACCCTTTCTACTGTGCTCCTTCCTGTCTCCTCCCTCTCTACTCCCACCGTGCCTACTACCACCTCCTCCCCTACCCTTCCCGCCCAGGCAACCCGCGGGTGACGGCAGCGGTGACCCAGGACGTGGTGTACCTGTCGCGCCTCATGGTCACCAACCTCTACATCACGCAGATCGAAGCCCTCATCTTCGACGTGAGCACCCATCTTGGATGTCCCACCACTCTCTGCTTGTTCTCCAGCCATCTTCTGCGCGTGTCCCATCACGTGTTTCATGCCTTCATTCCTTCCCTGCCAACGTTCCATCGCTCCTGTGACTGCCCATATGCCGTTCTACTACAGCCACATTTTCTTAGATGGTTCTATGTACGTACGTACCCTTCCCCCCTTTTCCCGCCCACTCCGTTCCTTCACCTCCTTCCCCTCACAGTTGTCCATGTGGCGTGCGAGTGCAGAGCTGAAGCAGCGGGCAGTGGAGGTGTGCGCAGGGGCCAAGAAGCACTCAGGGCATTACATTGGTGAGATAAAGATGGAGCAAGAGGGGTGGGGAGGAAGGGGATAGATGGGGCTGATGGGGATGGGAGTACTGAGAGTACAAGATAGGAGTGCGTCCTTGGAGCCCGTATGAAATACTTCTTTGCTGCAGCTCCTCTTGAGTGAGGGATCCTTAAGCCCCTTCCCCCATCCCCCATCCCCGATGCCCTATCTCCTATCCCTTATGCCCCTTTCCTCTCCCCCTTTCCCCCCTGCCACCCCGGGTGCATCTGCCCGCCCTGTGCCCGTGTGTGTGACGTGTGCAGAGTTCTGGAAGGACATCCCGGAGCACGAGCCGTACCGCGTCGTGCTGGGCGAGGTGCGCGACAAGCTCTGGAACACGCGCGACCACATCCAGCACCTCATGGCGCGCGGCCACTCCGAGTTCAGCCCCCAAGACATTTACACTGACCCCGAACAGGTGGGGGGGGGCGGGGGAGGCGGGAAGGGGGAGGGGGGAGGGGGGGTTTGGCCTGGAGAGATGTGGGATGAGGCAGGGTCTCTGGTGCGGTACAGACATTCCACCCACGAGGCCCGTGAGCTGGGGGAGAGTTGACCCTCACGATATTTACACCGACTCATGACAGGTGGGAGGGCTGAGGGGAGAGGGGGGGGCGGAGGCAGGAGAGAGGGGCAGCTGGGCGAGCGGACCGTGGGCGCCAGTGCTCTGAACCATGGCTCCACTTGGTTGGTCCCAACTGCTGCACAGAATTCATGCCTCTCTGTCTATATCTCTCGCCTCCCCCTCTTCCAACCCCCCCCCCATGTGTTCAGCTGATGGAGCCCCTGGAGCTGTGCTACAAGTCGCTGTGCTCGGTGGGCGATGCAGCCATAGCAGACAGCAAGCTGCTCGACATGCTACGCCAGGTGGGCTCTTTGCATGCTGCCCTCCGCCCTCCGCTGTACCAACCTTCTGTCTGAGCCACGCACATCACACTGTGCACTACCAGGTGTTAGGCCCTAGTGGTTTTGTTCTCTTGTCGTTGCCGTGCATGCATGTCTCATCTTATGTCTCTACTGTGCTGACGGTGCGCTGTTGGACTGTGTGCGGCAGGTGGCATGTTTTGGGCTGTCGCTGGTGCGGCTGGACATTCGGCAGGAGGGCGCGCGGCACACCGAGGCGTTGGACGCCATCACAGCGCACCTGGGGCAGGGCGCGTACAGCCAGTGGCCGGAGCAGCAGCGCCTGGACTGGCTCATGCACGAGTTGCAGAGCCGCCGCCCGCTGTTTGGGGAGGACCTGGTGGAGGCGGCGAGTGGGGAGGTGCGCGAGGTGCTGGCCACGTTCCGCACGCTGGCGGGGCTGCCGCGCGACTCGCTGGGCGCATACGTCATCTCCATGGCCACCAGCGCGTCGCACGTGCTCGAGGTGCAGCTGCTGCAGCGCGCCGCGGGGGTGAAGCGGCCGCTGCGCGTGGTGCCGCTGTTTGAGCGGCTGGACGACCTGAGCAATGCGCCCGCCGTGCTGGAGCAGCTCTTCAGCCTGCCGCTGTACCGCGCGTCGCTGGAGGGCGGCGTGCAGGAGATCATGATCGGGTACTCCGACTCGGGCAAGGACGCGGGGCGCCTGGGCGCGGCGTGGGCGCTGTACAAGGCGCAGGCGCGCGTGGTGGAGGTGGCGCGCGCGCACGGCGTGCAGCTGAGCATCTTCCATGGCAGGGGGGGCACGGTGGGGCGCGGGGGCGGGCCCACGCATCTGGCCATTCTGTCGCAGCCGCCGGGCACGGTGAACGGGCGGCTGCGAGTGACGGTGCAGGGCGAGGTGATCGAGCAGTCGTTCGGCGAGGAGCACCTGTGCTTCCGCACGCTGCAGCGCTTCACCGCCGCCACGCTCGACCACACCCTCAACCCGCCGTGCGTGCCGCTGCCGCAGTGGGAGGCGCTCATGGAGCGCATGGCACCGCTGTCCACCGCGGAGTACCGCTCTGTGGTGTTCCAGCACCCGCGGTTCGTGGAGCTGTTCCGCTCCGTGACCCCCGAGACCGAGTTCTCCCGCATGAACATCGGCAGCCGCCCAAGCAAGCGCCGCGCGGGTGGCGGAGTGGAGACGCTGCGCGCCATCCCGTGGATCTTTGCGTGGACGCAGACGCGCTTCCACCTGCCCGTGTGGCTGGGGCTGGCAGCGGCGCTGTGCGGCGTGGTGGAGGAGGACCCGCGTGCGCTGGACGAGCTGCAGCGCATGTACCAGCAGTGGCCCTTCTTCCGCGTCACCCTCGACCTCCTCCAAATGGTTTTCGCCAAAGGCGACCCCCGCGTCGCCCGCCTCTACCAGCAAGAGCTCGCCCCGCCCGACCTGCAGCAGCTCGGGGATGAGCTGCAGAAAAAGTACGAGGAGAGCAAGAAGCTGGTACTGCAGGTACGCTGAAATGGAGTGCGTTGATGTAATGTGTGCCCTCCATCTAGTACCTTCATGCTGTTTGTACGCTCAAATAGGTGAGAAACAATCTGGATTCATCTTTCCAGCTTGCCTATGCCCACATTTCATGTTGTCTGTCCTCCTTAATTTCCGCAACACTTCTTCAACAGTCACCTTGTCGCCCTCACCTGGCCTTTTCCACCCCCCTTCACTCCCAGGTGTGCGGGCACAAGGTGCCTCTGGAGAGCATTCCCACCCTGCGGCAGCGCCTGCTCATGCGAGAGCCGTACATCACTCCGCTCAATGTCATGCAAGTGCTCACACTCAAGAAGATGCGGCAGGAGGAGCAGAAAACAAGTGTCGAGGGAGCAGCCACGGCTGAAGAGGGCGCATCGGAGGGAGGGAAGAGTGGTGGGGAAGGAGAGAAACGAGGAAAGTTTTCGTCGCTCGTTGACTCGGGTGAGGCTTCGCCAGCACGCGGGCTGACAAAGGCGCACTCGTCTGACGTGGTTGGCCGGAATCCATCCAGTGCATATGCCCCAGGGCTGGAAGACACTTTGATCATCACAATGAAGGGGATTGCTGCAGGCATGCAGAACACTGGGTAGAGGGGTGACTTGGGACACATGTTCTTACGGTCTCGCTCATTCTCACACTCGCCCATTCTCAGACTCGCCCATTCTCAGACTCGCCCATTCCCAGACGCACTAGCTACAGTACAGTGCAATTTTGACGCGAAGTTGTTCAATCCGGTTTTAGGAGAGTGTCACGAGTCTGGGAAGGGTCTGGTCTGAGCAGAGGCCGAAGCAAATTGCCTAGTTCAGGTTACAATGGGCACACTAATCTAACATTTCTCAGAATAGTAGCAAAGTGACTAGAACAGGCAGTACAAACAAGGTGTGATATATTAAGACTAGAAAGAATGATTAGAAGAATGGAGAATAGGGGATATATAGCGTTTGGGTTGTACCCACTAAAAACATAAGCTTTTAGCCTATAACTTCTACATAACAATATATGTATAAGTTGTCATTGTTATGATATAATTCATACTTAGCATTTCTGTTAGTCGTTTATCAGTAGATAATCTCGAATCTTACTGTAGAAGATAAGTCCGAAGGATGACGTCAGCAAATAGCGCTCGTCATGGGGACAGTCGTTTCAGTCACGCGAACAGTCGCACCTCTTCATTGTCATTTAGAGCGCATAGCGCGATAGTGACGAACAGGTACATTTGCGAACAGGTACTTTTCCTAGAACTATAAATCCTTGTTATGCCTTTCCATTATTAACTTTGATTACCCACAAGTCCATGAGCTCAGGTTATTCAACCTTGATTATCATAATTTTACAAGACTTCCGCTGTCTTACTAGTCTGTCATTCCAGTAAAGATCCTAGGCTAACACTTGAGGTTTTCCAAGTGTTTGTGTTTGCAGATTCTATACTTAGTCTCCTGCAATACCTGTCAAATTATTACATGGTATGAGAGCTATCTGGAATCAAGACTACTGTCAACAATGACTGGAACATCACCAGCACAATCTACTGGATCTAGTTCTGGAACTACTGGAGTACCTGTCTCCACGACCGCCACTGGTCTCTCAACCTTTGGACCGTTTCCACCGGCTTATGCGAATATCCATTTTACATCTTCAGGCATCCCCTTGCTCAGCAACAACAACAGTAGCAACATCAGCAACAACAGCAACAGCCACAGCAATTTCAGCAACAACAACAACAGCAACAGCCTCAACAACTGGGTATTATCTTTCAACCGCCAAATTTGCTTAACAGTACACAGATTTAACGGAGTTGATTTTTACTCCAGGAGTTTCGAGTTTGAGCTTCTGGCGCAGTCCGCTGGGCTATGGCCGTTCTTTACCGGCGAGTTTACGTATCCTGTCGTGGGAACCATCAACAATCAAGTTACCACTTACACGTTTCATTGAAGGGGAGCTCGACATATCTCCCGCGCTTTCTCCCTTAATAATTTCTTCGTTTATACTAACGCCGCTTTCTACCTGCGATCATCAGGACACAAAGCCACCAAAGACACCTGGCATCAGCGGTTAGGACATCCATCACAAGGGATTCTTAATCATTCAATCCGAGCAGCAGTTCTTGATAAAAATAGTCTTCTCTTACCTGACGGCAAGGAGATGAAGCTGCAGTCTCACCCGACGGTTTGCACCACGTGTCCGATCGCCAATCTTACCCACGACCCGTTTCCAAGTCATTTTCCTGGCTCCACATGTTATGAACTGATGCAAAAAGTCTACAGCGATATTCTTAACTTACCTGAAGCAGGACCTAAAGAAGAGCAGTACGTGATAACCTTCATCGAAACATCTACTCGCTACGTTTGGAGAGCAAACATTCCTGCTCGTTATCTTGCTCATTCCATCTTCGTCGCATGGCTCGCTGTCGCTGAGCGAGAGTATGGCATGAAACTGCAAGAATTCCAGAGTGATGGCGCAGGGGAATACACGAGCAACACCTTCACAGACTACCTCCAGATACTCGACATCAAACGGAAGCAGTCACTGCCGCATGCACAACAACAGATGGGGGTAGTGGAAAGGATGAACCGAACTCTGCAGGAGAAGATGCGTGCTCTGTTGACTCAGGCAGCCCTTCCGCCACGTTTTTGGCTGTATGCGATGGACCACGCCGTGCTTTTACACAACCTGCTCTCTTCTACGTCACTACCCGAATTTTCTTCTCCGCACATGCAGTGGACAAGAACAGTGGGAAGTACCAAACTTTTACGAGTTTTTGGGTGTGTCGTGCAATTTCGTCCTCCAACTGCAGCACTCGGCACATTTTCAGAACGAGCAAAATGGGGGGTACACTTCAGCATCGAAAAATAGTATCACGCTTGGAAGATTTTGGATCTCCGTTCCAACCAAATCGTCCCTTCACGTGATTGTCTTTTCTATGAAAGACTCACCTTGCCCGTTTTTCGTGCCCACCAGGCAGCAGCTGCCAACCCCGCCAGGCTGTTCGAAGGCTCGCGTGCATTTGCAACTGACGACGCCGAAGCTGATGTACAAGACGAAGCCGTTTCTGAAGCCTCCGAAGCTGTCGCAACAGACATACCCGAACCTTTAACGTCGACTAGTATCCCGGAATTTATTCCTCTTGCAGATGCTGACCCGGATGAAGTTCGCAAAGTCCACCTCAGTTACGAACGCGATCGCCAACTGCAGCCGATGCCAGCCGTCTCCAACAAAGCAGTTCGTGTTACACCTGACGAAATTGGACGGGAAGAAGGACCAGAAGAAAATTTCGCAGGTGCAAACGAAGAACGTCCGCGTTTTACTGAAGCAGGATTACAGATACTTGGATTTGCAGTCGCAGCACAGTACAATGACAGTAAGATACCTGAACCGAAAATCGTTCGACAAGCTCTTACGAGTCCTCACCGCGAAAAATGGTGCGAAGCCATGGACAGAGAGCTAGCAGCTCTCAAGAGTCGTGGCACATGGGAGTTAATACCGACATCAGAAGTAAAAGGGAGGAAGGTACTTACCGGAAAATGGGTCTTCCGTGTGAGGACTAATGCAGATGGGTCGTTTGAAAAATTCAAGGCGCGATGGGTCGTCTGCGGATTCGAGCAGACTTACGGCATCGACTACGAGATGACTTTTGCTCCCGTCAGTCGACATACAAGCGTTCGGATTTTACTCTGTGCCGTCGCCTGCCGTAATCTACGACTTCGACAAATCAACGTGGCAAATGCGTTTCTCTATGCACCCGTCGACGCACTCATACTGGTAGAGTACCCGCATTCCTATACTACTAACCCACCGAGCGTATGCCGTCTCCAAAAATCGCTATACGGCATTAAACAGGCACCCCAGCTATGGCAACAGTACCTACATTCACATTTACTTACCGTTGGATTCTGTCAGCTACCGCATGACCAGGGAATGTATCTTCTAACCGACGGAAGCAACTATATTTTACTTGTCGCCTACGTCGACGACATTCTCTATGTTAGCACTACCGATTCACTCGCCAATACCTTCATACTGAAACTACAAAAAACTCTACAGCTTACCGTCTCCGAAACAGTCCCACAGTTTCTCGGTCTAAACATTACCTGCTCACCGACGTCGATTCACATCACCGCTTCGAAGTACGCAGCGACGCTCGCTGCCCGCTTCAACCTCACCCCTACTGCAGTTTCTACACCGTACCGTTCTCTACCGACTGACTACAAACCGAATACTGCACCGTTAAATTCAACCGGTTTACAGACCTATCAACAGCAGTTAGGCTGTTTACTCTTCGCCGCTGTAACTTGCCGTCCAGATCTGGCCTACGCAACTAGTCAACTCGCACAGTTCCTATGCCGTCCTGAAGAAGAACACCAACTCGATCTTCTTTGTGCTCTTCAGTATTTAGTCTCTACTCCTGACGTCGGTTTAGTCTACAACGTCGTCGGCTGTAAAACTCTATTCCTACACGGTTTCGTCGATGCCGACCACGCTGCTGACACCACTAATCGACGCTCGCATACTGGGTTCATCTATCGTCTTGAATCTATCAGGCCTATTTCTTGGAATTCGACGAAGCAGGAGCTGATTGCTCTCTCCTCTGCTGAAGCTGAATTTATCGATGTCTGCACAGCAACACGCGAAGGACTTTACCTGCAGGAACTATTGGAAGAAGCGAAGTTGACGACTAGTACTCAGTTTACCCTGCAGTGCGACAACCAAAGTGCAATTCGCATCGCGTACCAGCCTGGCTTCATCAACAGGACGAAACATATTTCACTTTGTTAGTTTTTCGGCAAGGATGAAGTTGAGAAAGGGAGAATGCGATTGGTCTATTGTTCGACCAACGAAATGGCTGCCGACTTCCTCACGAAGAAGCTTACACGACAGAAGTTTCAGTACTGTAACAAGCTTTGCGGGATCTTCAAGAAGTGACACTATCGAACTTCCAGAAATGAAGGGGAGTGTTGTGATATAATTCATACTTAGCATTTCTGTAAGTCGTTTATCAGTAGATAGTGTCAAATCCAACTGTAGAAGATAAGTCCGTAGGATGACGTCAGCAAATAGCGCTCGTCATGGGGACAGTCGTTTCAGTTACGCGAACAGTCGCACCTCTTCATTGTCATTTAGAGCGCATAGCGCGATAGTGACGAACAGGTACATTAGCGAACATGTACTTTTCCTAGAATTATATATCCTTGTTATGCCTTACCATTATGAACTTTGATTACCCACAAGTTCATGAGCTCAGGTTATTCAACCTTGATTATCATACTTTAACAAGACTTCTGCCATCTTACTAGTCTACCATTCCAGTAAAGATCCTAGGCTAACACTTGAGGTTTTCCAAGTGTTTGTGTTTGCAGATTCTATACTTAGTCTCCTGCAACACCTGTCAGATTATTACAGACACACCCCCTAGGCTAGATAAGGGGTAGTGCTGAGCAAGCAACACGCAGCTCAGGGTGGCACTACAAGTCCAACCTCTGAGGCAGGGGCCCGAAGACCAGTCAGCAAGAGTACAAGCAAGACAGAGCAAACCAGGGTGGTACTACTAGTCCAACCACTGGAAGAAAAGCCACAAGGCCAATCTGGAAGGCATAAATAGAAAGGAGTACACAATCAAGGGCCTAGCAAGTGAGAGTCAACAGGGACTAGACCTAACTGCAACCAGTGCCGCTGATGATCTCTAGGCGGAAGAGCCTTAGTAAAGATATCAGCTGTGTTGGCACCGGAGGCCAAGTGTACTACGCGGGCTTGGCGACGCTGCTGAAGCTCGCGCAGGAGGAAGTACCGCAGCTGGATGTGCTTCGCTCTACCCTCAAGTTGAGACTCCTGACACAGGAGGATCGTGGCCTTGTTGTCAACGTACACAATCAGGACAGAGCTAGGCCGCTCACCTAAGTCAGCCAGCGTAGCACACAGCGTATCGTGCCACTCACGGGGCGCCTGTCGCAGGCCGTAGACTGGGCGCCAAAGGAGCCAC